ATACAACTGCCCGGTGACACTCTAAGACACTCTCTCTTGCAAGGCTACTTGTGATTGACACTTGAAAAATAACATCTTGTCCAGAGAAGTGTGAGCTTGAATAATATCTTTGGAATATATCTAATAAGTAACAAAAGGCATTTTCTTATACTGATGTCTTTCTGTTTTTTTTCTTAAAAAGAAGGCGAGGGGCGTTAAATGAAGTTTAAAATAAATATTGAGTTAAAATTAGCATTAGTCTTGACTACACTGGACAACTTAGAAAATGTGAAGATGACTGTTTGAAAAGTGGCGCCAATTAAGTAATATTCAGGGATAGTAAACTTCAGCTGCAATTCAACTCAAAAATCATTCCAGGAGTTAAAGACTTGCATGTAAGAAAAAAATTTCAACGATCACAATTTCAAGAAGGAACATGTTTGAGAGGTACCATATTGAATTAAAAAATTCATGACTAGAGATAAAGCTCAGGACACACCAATTAATAAAAAAGGATTGGCCTTCCTGTTGGTTCAACATCAGAAAAGAGTCTTGAGATACTAAAAATTCTTTTTTTTCTTGAGTGATACACATTCGTCAATCAAATAGAAATAATATCCAAATAATGACATGTACAAGACTACAACTCGATTTGAATCCACAACCCCTTATAGAGGAAAGAACATACCAATCATTCCACTAAGAATTGGTTGGTTAAGATCCTAAAAGATGGTTCAGCCAGTCATAGACAAGTTTCCACGACTCCTCCCTTGCAACCATCCAAAATGGTGGTTCTTTTTAATCGTAAAGAAGATCTCTTATCCCTCTCATGATTCCTCCAACCCTCTAAAGTTGAGCACTTTTAAGTCTAAATTCAGGATGAAAGAAGCTAATATACTACAACGTTGTGCAATAGCAATCAACCCAAATTACAAATTGAGTACACTATTGAATCAACATCATTATTATTAGGATCGTACCATTCACAATTTGAATCATACAACTCAATTTAGTATCAAAACAATCAAATTGTACGAGTGAATTGCAATTTGTTGAAAATTGTGATTTGATAATGAAACACAGGATTTAAATTGAATCATACTATTCACTCAATTATAATTAAAGCAAATCTAAAATAAATTGTCTTAAATCCAATTATTGTTGAAGATACTTATGACGAAGGGGATGATGATGCAAATGGAGAAGAGAAAACGAAGATGGCTGTGTATGAAGAAAGAGGTCATTAATGATGACTGTCACATGGATGATTATTTGATAATTGAATAATTCATGGATACTAGTCTTAACAAATATTTATATAACCTTTTTTTTCATTTATTCAGAAGTCATAATTAACAAATTTGAGGATCATATAACCCATAGAACCTTAGTTATTTTAGAAAAAAGATTTATGTCCAAGGGAAGGGCTTTGAGGATGATGTGTTTTTAAAAACAAATACTTTCGTGAAAGATTATCACACATATCTACTTTTTTCTAAAAAAATTATGATACATATTTACGTGATTTTCTTTAAAGACAAGTAGTTTTTTACTATCTACAATATTACTGTTATATAATTTAAAATTTCATAAAACATTTATTTTTAAGTCTTTATTTGAGAGAAAAATCTTTAAGTACTTTTTATTGGTAAATACATACACAGCACAGAAATTTATTCACAAAATTTGCTCCTAACCTTGCAATTTAATTTGCTCCGCAAATTTCAAAACATTAACAAATCATGATTCAACAAATACGACCACTGCCCCATCAAAAAGTTTATCATCTCCAAACTCCAAAGATAAAGAAACGAGAAAAGAGAAAAGCTATATCAAACATATGTTTTCACAGAATGTACATGGTTCCCAGTGAACTCAAATAATACCAGACTGTTCATCTTCACAAAAAACTAATGATAAATCAAACAAGACATAAAAATTGCACTTTCACATCTCAATAATCAACTCCAAACTCTGCCTAATATTATGCCAAAAGTCCCTGTTTGATAGGCACCTAGAATTAAACCACAAGAGGAAAATAATGTTACCTAATTAACTAGATATTCTTATAAGAAACAAAGCTAGACAAGAAATTGAACAAATTTCTTAAACAATTCTTTTTTTAACAAGAAAAAATTATCTAGGAGAAAGAAGGTAGAAAACCAGCAAATAAGAAATCTGCCTAGATAAACATTTAAAAAAAAATAAAAAGTACAGTGTGTATCATTAATTACAAGTACCAAGAAGGTGTCAACCCATGTATAAAATTATTTATAAGTCAAATAAGATATCAGCAAAATTTCCAAAACCCTCCATAAAGTACAATGAATGACACATGAGCAAAAGACCCAAGATCTAGAACCATCTATCTCTAACTCTATCGAAATTGACTTCCACCCCTTTAGAAATTCTCTTATTTCTTTCTTTCCACAACTTAAAAAATAGAAAAGGAAATGAGACTCCTTTTTTCCACCATTAATACACTTCCAAATCTCATCCTTTACATTATTAGCCATTACCCAACTGATCCCTTAGAGCCCATACACCACGATCCATAACTTAAACACCAATAGGCACCATAGCAAGATATGATTACAAGACTCCTCTACCCTCCTACATAGAAAACAGTCCTTCACCATAATCTTTCATCTTTTCATTAACTTGTCAATAGTGAGGATATATCCCCTTCCTACCTCCCAAGCAAAAAAAACGATTCTAGAGGAGCACTCACCTTGCAAATTTGCTGGTACAGAAAGCTTATCTCAGTTGAAGCGTTCTTAACCAAATAGTTCTAGAAAGACTAAACTGTTTATGTACCGGCAACCTTGAGACTCCAAACTGGTTGATCATTACTCCCATTCAGATAGATTTTAGATATTGACTTGAGAAGGGACTCATACTCATTAATCTCCTAATCATTGAGATTTTTCATCAACTCAACATGTCATTCTCTAGCCTCTCAATGTTTCTAAATGACTCACATACTGTGATGTCTTTGTATTTTGCAATAGAGAAAATTTGGGGAAACTGATCTCTAAGTGCTCCACCTCTGAACCAAAGATCTATCCAGAAACTGATTCTTTCTCAACTGCCAACCCTCCACTTGATGCATTCTTGAAATTTATCCATCCACATACAAATTATTTTCTGTATCTCATTCCCATATGGTCTTGACGAAATTCTGGAGTACAATTCTCTATCTGCAGTACCAAACTTCGCATCAATTACCCTCTGCTAAAGAATGTCATTTTCATTCATGAACTGCTAAAGCCACTCACCCTGGAGCACCCAGTTCATATCCATAAAAGAGCTCAACTCCAGCTCACCTTGTTGCCTTGCTTTTAAAATATCATCCCATGCCACCAAATAATATCTCTTTTTATCCTTAGAGTTACCCTATAGAAACCTGTATTGAATAGATTCCAATCTCTTAGCAACACTCACTATAATTCTCAAAAAAGACATGTAGTAAATGGGAATATTAGCCAATGTGCTACAAATTAGTACAAGTCACCCACTTGTAAAAAGGAAATTTCTATTCCATTCTGCTAACCTCCTCTTAAATCTTGTTATGATGAGGTCCCGAGTCCTCACGATTTTATAATTAGCCCCAATGATAAGCCTGTCTTTTTTATCGCCAACTCTACAATTTTGTAACACAAGATATTTGCCAATCTAGTAGCATCATTCCCATCATCCAACCTCACCAATTCAAACTTAGTCAAATTAGTATTGAGATCAGAGATCGCTTGCAAGCACAATAAGACACATCTAAGATTGAGTAGCGCTACTTCATCTAGTTCACAAAACACTAAGGTGTCATCAACAAAAAATAAATGAGTAATTTCCTCCATTTGTTCAATGCTTCCATAACAACAATAAAAAATACTAGAGATAATGGACTCCTCTAATGTAAGACCACTGGAGGCCTTGAAAACAAAAATGGGCCCCATTCACCATGACCACAAAACAAATTATAATAATACAGGAGTTAATCCACTTGCACCATCCATCTACAAAGCTCATTATCTTCAACATGTAGTCAATAAATCTCCATTGACGTGATCATAGGCTTTCTCTATGTCAAGTTTGCAGAGGACCTCCTCTCTATTCGAAATAACAGCACATCAGCCACCTTATTAGATACCAGAGACACATTCATAATTTGCATACCTTCCCTGAAAGCATATTTTCGAAATTCCAAGTGCAAAAAGTTTCATTAATAACCGACACCAAAAGGGTGCCACCTGTAT